GATTTAAAATATTTTAACATTTTGTCAAGTTGCAACACAAATCATTTGTGATTCAATCTTTCATACAACTAACTAACAACTGTTAGCCTCTGAAAAACACAAGGCTCTTTTTAAAATCTAATCAAAAAAACAAAAGCATTCATAAAAATACATGAACGACACAGTTTTTTGTCTGTAAATCACGGGTTTAAAATGAGACTCGATTGTTGCGAGTTGATGAATAAAAACAATTTATTTGAAATATTTGGTGTCTGTGTGCAGGAAGAGGCGGAGCTGCGCAGCGACGGCACCAAGTCCACCATAAAACCCAGTCAGATGTCTGTGGCCAGGATCACCTGTGTGAGGGGTCAGGGGCCCAACGAGGGGGTTCCCTTCATTGATGACTACATCTCAACACAGGAGCAGGTGAAGACATTTAAAGAGCAAACTCAGACTGTCTTTTTGGTGTTTGCACTTAAAACTTCATAGAGTAGGTTAAAATTACAGACAATAAAATTAATGAGTGTAACATGTCCTGAATGAACAATATGAYGTTTTCCTTACTTTTTATGTAGTCAGACAGCAGCTGTTTTTATAGTATAAACCTAAAAGAGTGGCTTTGTTTTCTTGGTTGGAAATGTAAATCCACGCGTCTAATTATTTTTTCTTAGGTGGTTGATTATTTGACACAGTATTCTGGCATCAAACCAGGAGACCTGGATGCTAAAATCTCCTCGAAGCATCTGACCACGCTGAAGTCTACCTACTTAAAGCTGCGCTTCCTCATCGACACCGGAGTTCGCTTTGTGGGCCACGGTCTGCAGAAGGATTTCCGGGTTATTAATTTATTGGTACGCTGTTTTTAACAACTTTACATGCTGTCTGTGCAAACCCAATGATTCCACCTACTTTTGTCCCCTTYCACCATTAAATATATGAAATTTTTGTGTTTAAGGTTCCAAAAGATCAAGTCGTCGACACAGTCTACCTGTTCCATTTGCCCCGCAAGAGAATGATTTCTTTGAGGTTTCTCGCTTGGTATTTTCTTGGTAAGCTCAGATCTAAAAAAAA